CGGGTTTTTACACTTTGAAAAATTTAAAATTTTAGGTTCCTCACTTTTTTTAATAATAACTCGGTTATCACTCGTAGTTGTTCACTTTACGTTTTCACTACCACTGATTACTGCTAACAGTTTTTCACGCCAAAAACCACAAACTCGAGCCTTGTGACCCCGCCTGTGTGTGTGTGTGTGTGTGTGGGGTGGTGTGTGTGTTGTGGTGTGTGTGGGGTGTGTGGGTGTGGTGTGGTGGTGTGGTGTTGTGTGTGGTGTTGTGGTGGTGTGGTGTGTGGGTTGGGGGGGTGTGGGTGGGGGTGTTGTGTGGTGTGTGGGGGGTGGTGTGTGGTGGTGGTGTTTGGTGGTTGGTGTTTTGGGGTGGTGTGTTTTGGTGTGTGTGGGGGTGTGGTGTGTGTGGTGGGGGTGTGGGTGTGTGTGGGTTTGGTGTGGTTGTGGTGGTGTGTGGTGGGGGTGTGGGTGTGTGTGTGTGTGTTTGGTGTGTGTGTGTGGTTGGTGGGGTTGTGGTGTGTGTGTTGTTGGGGGTGTGTGTGTGTTTTGTGTGGTGGTGTGTGTGTGGTGTGGTGGTGTTTGTTGTTGTGTGTGTGGGGTTTTGTTTTGTGGTGTGTGTGTGTTGGTTGGTGTGTGGGTGTGTGTGGTGTTGTTTGTGTGTGTTGTGGTGGTGTGGTGTGGTGTGTTGGTGTGTGTGTGGTTGGGTTTTGTGGTGGGGGTTGGGTTGTGGTTGTGTGTGGGTGTGTGGGTGGTGTGTTGGGGGTGTGGGTGGGGGTTGGTGGTGTGTGTGGTGTGTGTGGTGTGTGGGTTGTTGTGGGGGGGTGTGTGTTGTGTGTGGTGTGTTTTGGTGGGTGTGTGTGTGGGTGTTTGTGGTGGGTTTTGGGGTGGGGTGTGGTGTTTGGGGGTGTGTGTGGTTGGTGTGGGGGTGGGGGTTTGTGTGTGTGTGTGTGTGTGGGTGTTTGGTGTGTTGTGGGGTGTGTGGGTGGTGGTGGGGTGTGTTGTTGGGTTGGGGTGTGGTGGGTGGTGTGTGTGTGGGTGTGGTTGTGTGTGTGGTGGTGTGTGTGTGGGTGTGGGGGTGGTGTGGTGTGTTGTGGTGTGTGTGGGTGTGGTGTGTGGGTGTGTGTTGTGTTGTGTGTGTGTTGTGTGTGTGTGGTGTGTGTTGTGTGGGGTTGGGGGGGTGGGGGGGGGTGGGTGGGGGGGGGGGGTGTTGGGGGGGGGGGTGGGGTGTGTGTTGGTGGGTTTTGGTGTGGGGGGGGGGGTTTGGGGTGGGGGGGTGTGGTTGGTGTGGGGTGGTGGTTTTGGGTGGGTTTTGGGTGGTGTGTGGTGGGGGGTTGGTTGGGGGTGGGTGGGGGGTGTGTGGGTGGGGGTTTGGGTGGTGGGTGGGGGGGGGGGGGGGGGGGGGGGGGGGGGGGGTGGGGGTGGGTGGGGTGGTGTTGTGGGTGTTGGGGTTTTGGGGGGGTTGTGGGTGGGGGGGGGGGGTGTGGTGGGGTTGGGGGGTGGGTGGGGGGGGGGGGGGGGGGGGGGGGTGGGTGGGGGGGGGGTGGGGGTATGTTGTGTGGGGGGTTGTGGGTGGGTGGGGGGGGGGGGGGGGGGGTGTGTGTGGGGGGGGGGGTGGTGGGTGGGGTGGTTTGGTTGGTGTGGGGTGTGGGGTGTTGGGGTTTGTGGTTTGTGGTGGGGTGGGTGGTGGGTGGTTTGGGGGGGGTGGGGGGGGGGTGTTGTTGGGTGGGGGTGTGGGGTTTGGGGGGTTGGGGGGGGGGGGGGTGGGGGGGGGGGTGGGGGGGGGGGGGGGGGGGGGGGGTGGGGGGGGGGGGGGGGGGGGGGGGGGGGGGGGGGGGGGGGGTGGGGGGGGGGGGGGGGGGGGGGTGGGGGTGTTTTTGGGGGGGGGGGTGGGGGTGGGGTGGGGTTTTGGTGGGGGGGGGGGGGGGGGGGGGGGGGTTTTGGGGGGGGGGGGGGGGGGGGGGGGTGGGGATTTTTGGGGGGGGGGGGGGTTTTTTGGTTTGGGTTTTTTTTTTTGGGGGTGGGTTTTGGTTTTTTTTTGGGGTTTGGGGTTTAAAATTTTAAAAACATAAAACAAAAAAATTTTTAAATTAAAATTTAGAATCAAAAACACTAAATATGGGCCGGGTAAACTTGGGTTTTTAAATTTTTGGAAGGGAGGAAAAAATACTGACAAAAGTGCATAAACTCGCAGTTAATTTTATTTTACTTAGAAGCACTTCGGGGTGATGGAGTGAAAGGAAAAAGGGTTTTTTCTTGACTGCTGTGGAGTGTGAAAAAAAACATTTAAAAAATTCGGGGAAACCCCCAGGCCGTTAGTTAATAAGTACAGTACCTAAAGGGGGTTTTAATTTTCAAAATTTTAAAAAAAGGGAAAGCACCCTTCTCAAGAAATGGAAAAAAAAATAAAGTTTTTTTTTTTTTACCCCCTTTAAAACCCGTTGAAATAAAAAAAAAAAATAAAAAAAAAAACTAACCCCAAAAATTTTTATTTAATTTTTTTTAATGTTTAAAAAATTTTTGTAACAACTTTCTTAAATTAATAAGTTTTCAAGATTTTTTTGTAAATATTTAAAAAAACTAGCCTGGGAAAATTTTCCCCCAGTTTTATGGCTTAAAAAACCGCTAAAATTTTTTTTATTTTTTTACGGATTTTAGACTAAACCCAAAACATGGAATAACGGTTAATTTGAACCTAAAAACTTTTTTTATCTGTATATAAGTAATTTCATTATCCATTACACCTTTGGCCCCAACCACTAAACTATTTTCAAGGGAACATATTTAAACCCAAAAATGCAAACCCTTTTACTTGTACTGGGGCATTTTTTTCCCCTACAGTATGGACCGCCATCTTTTTTTCCAAGGGAAAATAAAAGTAAAGGAGACCCAAATATGACAGGGAAAAATATTTACAGGGGGTTTTAAAAGGCATCTTCAATACTAGTACATCAAATCATCATCCTACTATACTGGACACATCAAATTTATACTATACAGTGGAAAGCACTTATCTTTAAGGGCACGCTTATACTAGTAAGGAAAAACCCGTTTTAAAGTCATTGGACAAAAGTCACTAACTATACATTTACCAGGCATCCATAAACATTGCCACAGTCTTTCCATATAGTAATTACACTCATTAAAAAAACAGTTACAAGTTCCCTTCAACAGTAAAATGGAAAAAACATACTTCAACTAACATTGGGCAAACAAGGTTTAAAAATAAATCAATAAGGTTTTAAATTTTTTTAAAAATACTTAACCACTGATTAAAATAAACGTTTTAAAGAAAATTTAAAATTATTGGAAAATTCCGTAAATCCAATGAACTTAAAAATCCCCACCACCCTGATTTAAAACTCAAAAAAAAATTTTTTAAAAAATGCTTTTTTCCTAAAAATTTAAGTAAAAAATACAAAATAATACAATTATGAAAAAAATATAATTTAAAAATTTTCCTTTTTACTAAAAAAAAAAGAATTTAAATAAACAAAACATTCAAATTTATCAAGAGTCTTTTAACAATTTAGATTCAAATTAAGGATATAAATTATTTAATAAATATATTATTTAAAGTATGGCTGACACAGCATGCAGTTAAATTAAGCAGCTATTAAGTAATCTAAAATTCAACTCTGGAATTCAGTTAATGCTAGAACTAAAAAACTAAACAAAATACCCTCAGAAATAGTTTACATTAACTCTTAATTTAAAAAAAAACTTACAAAACCATGCAATAATTAGTAGTGCACTTAAGCTACGTCTAAATTACTTAAGCAATCTACCTGTACAACTGTACTTACACTTTACTGAACATATACATTATACTTTCACTTTATTAATAAAACAAAGATATAAGCTACACACACATTAAAATCTCTTACTACTGAATGTAGTCTTTTGTCATGTTTCAGTCATAAAACAGAATGGTTATCATTATGATGATTATTATTAATCTAATGCACATTAATATTCATGGAGAAGCCCTGAACTAGTAGGTGTCATACAGCACCTGAATCTACAAAATATTAAAGATTTGAAATGTTATCATCATTACTAATAGCAGGGCCCCACATATACCACATATTTTTGAATTCAAATTAAGTCATAGTTCATTATGTTCCACGAGCCAGCAATTGTCACCATTGGGTGGAACAATGGCTCAACTGAAAAAATTTGAAAACATGAACATGCAGGTCCCTCCTGTACCAACATATCCTCTTTAAATTCATTAGCATGAATTTGTTGAATAAAGGAAAGTACTAATGTTTGTCTAAGCACAATGGCTGTGAGGAAATCTCCCTCACTGATAATTTAAAGGACAAGTAATTAATCCAATGATAGACCAACAAACTTACATTGATTTATTTACTGTGTCCAAAATGGGTCATTACTTCAAGACCAAAACAGCACTAACTATTTTTTTTCAACAATATGAATTACATCCTCATACATAGAATCTGTATACAAAGATACCAGATTATTTAAAGTGGTCTTCTATCAGTACTTATTTATTTTTTGCCAAGTGTCGATTAACTTTTATTTAACAAAAAACTGTTGTGTCATTTACACTTTTAATTATGGAAATAGAAAAACTTAACGAGTTAATCTGGTTTTGCAAATTATCATCCACAAGAAAGAACATGACATGAATCACAATGGGAAGACAGCTCAACTAACTGGTAGCAGTACTCTCTGTAATGAACTGATGCAGCTTTATCATACAGAACAAACAATACAGATGACTAAGCATTTATCATCCAAGGTATAAAATTAATTTGTCATTCTTTCAGTCTATTCCTAATCAAAACTACCCTAACTGTTTTGAGATATTTTCTTTATCATGATAAAAAATAAAGCATGCTATTCAAGGCAGTATAATATGAAAATTATAACCACCTACAGTGAAACATTCCTCAAAAGCACAAGAGAATTCTGAGAAATTAAGAAGCAGGCGTAAGTTAACTAATGCAAACTTAACTAAGTAGGTTGATAAACAACAGACTTACACTCCTTGTCTTCCTCTTCCTCTGTATCATCTGCTGCAATAAGGTTAAACTCAGATACATATATTCCTTGACATTTCTTGAGAATGATTTGTGACCAAAACCTAACTTTGATGGCCAAATATTCTCAAGAGATGACTAAGAAAATTTGTGTTAATATGTTAGATTCTGCATTAACAATTGGAAAATGTTAATCACATTAAGATCTAAAATGCAAATAAATATATTACTCCACTATTAACCCACCTAGAAATTAACAAGATCAAGGCTCAGATCCAGTAAACTACCTGTTACTGAAACTGGAAAGTTATTTGCAGTGCCAGAATTCATCAAACCATCATCCATTATTATATATTCAGCAGTAGAAGGCAGTCTATACATATACCATAACCAAAGCCATTAATGGGACCCCTACATATGGTTTTAATAATTATTCAAAATGAATGAATTAATAAATAATATGCATTATGAGGTCTATTAGAATGAATGCAGATCGGTTAGTATGGAGTGAACAAGTGAAAGTCAGAAGTTGAAAGTGAGAATAGTAGGGGTGAATGATATTATAATAATACAGTGGAACCTCGACTTACGGCTTATTTATCTATCACAATTGATCTACTATGACATAATAAACAATACATATAACATAGAAACATGATATATACTCTAGAATGAATAAAATATGTCATGTGATGAGTGGTGGCAGCTATTCCTGCTCCTGCTCTGACCATATCTTCCCGTGCTCTTATTATAAGAGAAAATGGAGTGCTTGTGAGGTTAACTGCACTTGATCACTAGTTTCATAAGGAAAACACTGAAACAATACACTGCATTTATAAGAAATATTGTATAAAATATAATAAAACATAATGTAATGTAAAGAAAGAAACTGGTTTTATAAAGTGTACTATGTACATATTTACCTTGGAGAAGAGATGCCAGCAGAGCGGTATATGCTGTCAGTGACCCTATAAACCCCAACAACAACAACAACAACATTGGAGGAGTTCGTTTCGTTTCATCCTTTTTCTATCACTTAATCGCTTAACTTACTTGCTACATTCTTAATGCTACACTTTATCACTGAACTTAACTGCTACAATTTTTTTTCACTTCACTTTTCACTGATTTACTTGCTACACTCTTAATGCTACAACCCACAACCTGCACACCTCACTTGTATTTATCTATGATTTCATGCTTTAATTCCATGGATATCATCCTCTTTTTCTTCTTAGCACTGTCCTTTGCACTTACTTTCTTAGAACCCATGGTTAGAAAAAAGAAATTTGGCAATAACTGCACAAAACGCAAGCAAAACACGAGAGAAATGCTTCCACAGCAAGGTAAACATGTGCATTGCTCGGCAGATGTTGTAGCGTTTGCTGCGCCAACTAGTGGTGGCATTCTGAAGCTCGCTCGTTATTATTATTACAATGGGGAAGCGCTAAACCTGCAGGATTATACAGCGCCTGTGGGGGGGAGGGGATGGAAGGTATTCAGGCTTAATTTAGGGAACTGGAGTACAGATCCAATTCCCTAGATCAAGAGCCCCTCACCAGCATTAAGGATCCTCCCTAGAGGGGGAAGCTTGCTCGTAACTCAGGATTTTGACTCGTAACTTAGAGCAAAAACTCGACTGAGTGACGGCTCATATCTCGAAAAACTTGTATGTTGGAGCACTCAAAAGTCGAGGTTCCTCTGTACCACACCACCATTCTGTCTTCTTGCTTTCTCTGCCTTGTTTCCTGTTCAGTTGTGACTACAAGCAGTTACTAACACTACCATCACCACTTCACATACTTTTATCACTACTACTACTACTCCCTAATCACTACTACTACTAGAGGTACATCGATTTTCCAGACCTGATTACTGATTTTTCCACTTTTAGAGAGTGCAGTATTCCTTGGTCTTGGGGTTGGATAAGTAACGTACAGTTTGGTGATAAATACACTGCCGTGGGAATTTCAAGTTCCTGCTTCCAGCTAACCAGTTTCCCTGAATCTCTTCACAAAATATTACCTTGCTCACACTCCAACAGCTCATCAGGTCTCCATTCACTCCTATCAAACACGCTCACGTATGCTTGCTGGAAGTCCAAGCCCCTCGCCACAATAACCTTCTTTATTCCCTCCCTCCATCCTTTTCAAGGACAACCCCTACCCCACCTTCCTTTCCTTACAGATTTATACGCTCTCTAAGTCATTCTGTGATCCATTCTCTCTAAATGACCAAATCACTTCAACAACCCATCTTCAGCCGTCTGATTAATACTTTTAGGAACTCCACACCTTCTAATTTCCACACTACAAATTCTCTGCATAATATTTACACCACACATTGCCCTTAAACATGACATCTCCACTGCCTCCAGCTGCCTGCTGATCATTTAAACCAAAGAAAATACTAGAATCATTATTCACTGACTGTATTTGGCAGACAGTAGTTTCCCTAATAGGATCCCTGGAATCATTATACTGTATATACTAGAAAAATGACCCAGCTTTGGGGAATTCTAATTGATAACTAAACAAGGCCACTCTCTAGGAAGTGGGTTTCATAAGAGAAGCAGCTTAAGAGAATAGGGATTATTTTTTTAATTTAAATACTAGATAACTTAAAACATGAAAGAAAAAGGTTGAAACAATTAACCCATTTCTATAAATAACATGGTTTCAAATCCAATGAAACAAAGGAAAATAGGTTACTATGTTGTATAGCACTTTTATACCCAGAACAATTAGTAACTGAAAATACCATTCATTGCCTTGAAACTCTTGGTGATGCATGAACAAAATTCTTTAAATAATTAGTTGGTTGACCATCATCATAAATTCTTAACTAGACGACTAAACAACTGAAAATACTCAAGAAACATTGAAATGAGGATTATATATGATTGAGGTATCAAAAAGGTCCTCAAGAAATAAAAGTGATGAAAAAATGGAAAAAATGGAATGGGACAGCGATAAAGAAAGGGAAATATAGCTGCATTAACATTTTGCCATATCTAGAGGTCACAATTTTATAAGTACTGTTAATACAAAATAGTAAATGCAAGTAGTTAAAGCTCAACAAGCAAAAATATTAGTAATTACTGCATTTCTTGTAAATAAAAACATCACCTTTCATTGACTATTTTTCAACTGCACATCTATTATGCTTCAAACTAGAAAACAAAACTACATAAAATAAGTTAATCATGTATGTAATTTGTAGCAACACATTAGCACTCAGAACAAGGTTGATAACATTTATGCTTGAATACCTTTCAACAATCACCAAGTTGACAGTTTTCATTTTCACACCATACTCACTTTCAGCTTTCTTTTCTTTTTTTTTTTCTTTTTTTAGCACATCAGCCATTTCCCACCGAGGCAGGGTGACCCAAAAAGAAAGAAAAAACTTTCATCATTCAACACTTTCACCATCACTCATACAAAATCACTGTCTTTGCAGAGGCACTCAGATATGAAAGTTTAGATGTCCCTCCAAATTGCCAATATCCCAAACCCCTCCTTTAACACTTCAATATTACATTAACATTAATACTGTTTTTTCAAGCCACACTCACTCTGACACTACATTAACCCTTTAACTGTCACACCACTGATCTATGTTTTACTGCTAACGCTCTGAATATTTTGAAGAAAAAAAAAATTAAACAAAGCATGCAATTTTCTGTGTGAAATAAGACAAAAAAAAATTTTAGGACCAGTACTTATCAAGATACAAGGTGGCAAAGTTGGCACTAGATGCTCGTGTGATGGCAACGTGGAGTCCTGCCATTGCAGAAATATTGCTAATATACCTGCTTTTTCTCATTTTTTTAATTTACATAATTTTTATGTTCTGATAATTACAATCTATAGTAGTTCTTGTGATTTTATGGCCAATCTTTGTTCTGACACTAATATTAGGTATGGAAATAGTAATCAAACGGCCACAAACATACTGACAGGTGAACATGTTCACCTGCCTTAGTCACATACTATCATCTAAAAATATATACAAATTATTTATAGTGCCCAGCAATGTTTTTAGAAGTGCTGGAGTATATGAAACTCCTTCAAGCATGGTGTCAGACAAGAGTGTCACTGTACACTGCTAATGGTGTAGCCACTCAATATTGCTGATAGTGCACTGCTCCCAGTAAACCTTGGCATATTTTTATTTGTTCTTACTGTTCCACACACATAACCATGTCCGCCTCTGTCTGTCTCTCTATCTCTATATCTGCCTTTTTGTGTCTGTCAATCTCTGCCACTCATGAACCAACAGGCACTACACGTTTCAGAATCTTCACATCTGAACAAATGGAAATATACAACTGTGGTCAAAAAGTGTATTACCTTGCCAGTCATACTTATGCCTTATATCTACAAGCACAGTATAACCCTTTGTCTGGCTTTTTCGGGTTATCCTAGGTAATTTACACTATGAATGCTAACTATATTTATATGTACCTGTGCCTAAATAAACTTACTTAGTCCCTGATTCTGTTTTATGAGAGGCTCCATGAGAGGAGAGAGAGAGAGAGAGAGAGAGAGAGAGAGAGAGAGAGAGAGAGAGAGAGAGAGAGAGACAGAGACAGAGAGAGAGAGAGAGAGAGAGAGAGAGAGAGACAGACAGACAGAGAGAGACAGAGACAGAGAGAGAGACAGAGAGACAGAGACAGAGAGAGAGAGAGAGAGAGAGAGAGAGAGAGAGAGAGAGAGAGAGAGAGAGAGAGAGACAGAGAGAGAGAGAGAGAGAGAGAGAGAGAGAAGAGAGAGAGAGAGGAGAGAAGACAGAGAGAGAGAGAGAGACACACAGAGAGAGAGAGACAGAGAGAGAGAGAGAGAGAGAGAGAGAGAGAGAGACAGAGAGAGAGACAGAGACAGAGAGAGAGACAGAGAGAGAGACAGAGAGAGAGAGAGAGAGAGAGAGAGAGAGAGAGGAGAGAGAGAGAGAGAGAGAGAGAGAGAGAGAGAGAGACAGACAGACAGAGAGAGAGACAGAGAGAGAGACAGAGAGAGAGAGAGAGAGAGAGC